GCGGGGGCTGCTGGGGGGAGGAGGCCGGGGGCACCGAGCACAGGGGAGAGCCACTGGAGTGCAGAGGTATGTGCATCCTCCACAGTCAGCACTATTTTTCAATATTTTGATTCCTATTTTAAACCTTTTTAAACATGATCTTAATTTCAAGTTGCTTCAAATTTTTATTTGAAAGCGAGACGTTTACAATAAAAGTCTGAATGATGCTCCCAAGATCCCACGTGGCAGACAAGCCACGTACATTTAGTCTGATTTTACAATCCACTCACTTGCTGGTTTGTTCAGCGACGGAGCACGCTTATGTCAGGCATCATGCAAGGCTCTGGGCGTAGCACTAATTAAGACAGAGTCCCTCCAGGAGCTCACAGTCTCATGGTAACTCGAGTGAGCTGAGGCACAGGGTGGTACGTGTTTTACCAGTGAGGTAGACATAGCTAGGTACTTGGAAAAGGGGCTGGAGCGGGAGAGAGGGCAGGGGACAACTAATGCCTAAATGCACCCCTCTGAGCGAGGAGCAAGGCTGCACACGGAAACATCACAAAGCTGCTGGCAAAAAGCTTAGAACAGCTTCCAGCTGTCACCGTCATCGAACTCCTGTCTCACACTCTTTAAGCCACTACCTGATGGTATCTCCACACTTGTCCCTGAAGGTGTGAGGCATGCCACCCGTCTGCTCGGACAGTAGCTGTAGGTCACCTGGACCCCATTCCACCACTGGGAATCATACTGAAAGTCTTTAATTAAACCCATGATCTTTAAGTTCAGAAGATGCTAATAAGTTACAGATACCACATAAGTTAGAGGATCTGTTAATTTCCATATATACATTATTTTGGCTATACAATGGCGAAGAAACTCACTGAGACACACATAAGCGATCTAAGCATTATACAGATATATACAGACATCACACTTAGATGGCGTGTGCACGCCCACCCACTGCACAGCAGCTAATGCAGACGTGAACTCGTGTAAGGCAACTGCTTTTGTGATGACAATACATGATTCTTGAAGGGAGGGCAGAGTCCACACAGGACTGACCGTTTCGGGTTAGTGATACTCTTTGCGGAAGGTAGTAGGCAGGATATCTAGTTCACTGACAAAAAACAGTGAGTTATAAAAAGAGTTGCTTCTGAATGTGGAAACCATAATAATCCCAGAATCTAAGTAGTGAGCCACTCAAAGACACTACTGGCCTTGACTGTGGAGGGACTTCACAATGACTGATCGCTGAGGATCAAACTCGATGCGTAATCATCCAAGCAACGCTCCAAAGCCACTCAACACACGGGGCTCAAATCCCGTCAGTCACTCACTTCACTTTGCTGTGAGGATTTTCTTCTTTGTCAGGTGTTTCTGAATGTCTGCTTTTCTTAGACGCCGAGGGTCCTGTCCCTTCAGAGCCCTTCCTGCCAGAGCGACCCTGCTCCACTTAACACAGGTAGACGTGGATGGGCCCCTTGTTGCTCCATATGTGCACCGTGATGGAGTCTTCTCTGGGGGCTGGGACAACCAGTCTGGTCTCTGCCGGAGCTTTCACCGCGATGACAATCTGCTCGTGGAAGGCTCGGATGCTGTGGATGTCTTGGTACGTCACATTCGCGAGCCTTTCATTGTCTTTGTCATCCATCAACTCGAACAGCTGCTGGGCACAATCCTTGATCAACTCGTCCAGAGCCTCTTCCATGGCCAACAGGTCGGACAGCTCCTCCCGCAGCTTCTTCTGTTGGGGCTCTGCTCCGAAATTGTTGAGATCGGATCCTATCCATCGAATGTGGTTCTTCGATTTTTTTTCAACCAGGTCGATCCCATCTAAGACATTGGTGATGTCATACACTCTTCGTTTCCGGACTCCCAGTTTTGTTGGAACCTTGTTTAAGTCAAGAATACCCCCAGGAGCATTTCTGACAAGATCCATAAATTTCCGAGTTAAATACACCAGTGATACATCAAACCGAGGTGTCTTCACTTTTAGAGTTTTTCTCATGGACACATACTGTACATTATCTTCTAAATTAGTCATTATTTTTGATGGCAGCAGGCCCTCCACGTTGATGGGGTCTCGGCACAGGCGGCGCACCGACTCCTCCGCCTGGTCCACGAGCTCGCTGGCCCTACATGAGCCCCATTTGTAAAACGGGAATGACAGAATAATCTGTCCTGCCTACTTCAGGAGGTTGCTCTGAAGATTAAAACGAGATTATATCGCAGATTCTTACAGTCTCAGGAATTAACAGCACCGGCACCTCTGGAATAGATGAATGGGACCCTGGCCAGAGAAAGACTGCCTGGAAGTCTCCTTAAGAAGTTAGGGCTCGTGGTCCTCGCTTTCCCCATTCTGCGCAGGCCAGCTTCTCGATCTCTCGCACACCAGCAGAAGGCAACGCAGAACCCACCCAAGCAAGCGGATAGTGAAAAGGCCTTGATGGCATGGACACTAGACTCTACAGAATGCTACCTGTTTTACTGACAAGTATTTTATCACCTGTGCCTATAACAATGTCCGACACATAGGAGGCACTTGGTAAATATTTGAGCTTCAGATACAACATTATCCCTAGGCTTTTCAATTACATGGGCCAATCATTTTTTTTTAATGACTAAGCCATTTGAAGTCTGATTTCAGTCATTTGCAACTAAGGTTCTAACTGAAATACCACCCTGCTAAATAAATCCACCTTCCCCAAAATCCCAACAAAACAAAACATTCCTGGGGTATTCCTTCCCCAGTAAAGCCTGTGCTCATAAGGGAGCACAATATTCCACCTGCCCTTGGACTAGGTGAAGTAAAGCCAAGTGCAGTTGTCTGTGACTTAAATTAGAAACCAAATGATAGCTCTTTACTACCTTGTCTTTACTTACAGCTAATCCAATGCACTCTCTTCATACCAGCTTCCCTTATGATTATTCAATTGACTTTCTCAGGAGACTGTTAGAGAAAAAAATCTCACCCTACAAGATGAGCAGAGAGTTGGTGTTCTTCTGCTACTATAGGGGAGGGAGCAGAGACCACATGTGGATGCCCAGCTCCATACAAAGGGCTGAAGAGTTCTTAAGAGCTGGGATGGGGCGGGTGGGGGGTGTCATAGGCCACCTGTGTTTGCTAATTGGCCTTACCCAAAGGAAAAGTAAACTTTTCTCACACCTTCAAAATGGGAGCAAGATGCCAGAGAAAGTTAGGCTCCTGCCCTCCTACAGAGACTGGGAGAGATGGGGTCTATCACCTTCAGCAATTACATTTCAGAGGGAAGGCTCCCAGGTTCTTGAGAAAGGCATTCCTGGGCATAAAACCTTCAAGAGGCTTTTTAAAAGATTTACTTCTCAAAGGGACAGAGAAAGAATTTACAACGACACATTTTCTAAAGTAAATGCTCTAGAAATAGGGAGGTCAGAGGCCTAGAGTCAGGAAGAAGCCTGTCTAACATTTAGTCAAGCTAAGGGAACTTTAAGGCCATCTTGGTTAAGGCCTATGAGAAAACAACAGCAAACTGATTTTTTATTTTTTTTTACAACTTACAAAACATCTGTCAAAGTGGTCTAATTTCACTGGATTTCTTTTTAAGAAGAATAAAAACCCTTAATTATTCAGGAAAAATTTATGGGCAGAGTTAACCTCATGTTCAGCAAAAGAACTTATATTCCCCTGTCCGATGCCATTAGTTTTCTTGGGATGCCATGAAATCTGTACTGAGTAGAGTAGACAACCTCTCACAGAAATTTCCCCTGAGTTCAAACACTGGCTGCTATGACCTGAATACAACAATTTTGTAGTGTTACCAACACAAAGGGAAAGGTTCAGTAATAGAAATCAAATAAAGCCCTTTTATTGCAGTCATTTAGAAACTTATTTGGTGGGGGGAGGGAGGGCTAATGAAATGTACAAGCCATATTAAAGAGAAAACAGAAGTAAGGAGTTGAAGGAAAATCTCACTCTTCTCTCAAGCTATGAAGCCCCTCCTGGATTTCCTTCCCTTCCTACCAGACCCCTCAGTCAATCAACCCAATGATATCTTCCAGCTTCCTAAATGTATTTACCTACTTGACCTTGTACCTTAACCCTACCCTAACAATCCCTAAACTTGGATCTTTTCAACAATTTACTTTCTCTGCCATTACTGTTGCCACGTTTAATTTTATTGGAGAGATCTCACAACTTTTATCTACTGGAAGCATTACATATGTAAAGTTTCTACAGACAGAATAATGCCCCCACAAAGATGCTCACATCCCAACCCCCAGAATCTGGGAATATGTGACCTTACTTTTGTTAGGTTAGGTGGCTCAGGAGGCGGCATAGGAAATAAAGACAGTCCAGTGAATCAGAAAAAAAAAGAAAAGGAAAAGGTTTATTTCTGCGTCCCCGGGAGACCCACGGACCCCAAAGACAGGGCACGTGGATTCACGCCAACAGGGAGGGGGGCGCTTTTTTTATACTGCAGTTGGGTGAGGGGCGGGGACATGAGCTGAGGTATTCAGCTGAGGAAGTTTCAGCTGCAGGGGGTCAGCAAGGTATTCAGGAAGGAGTCAGTATCTGTGTCTGGCATGCTGATATGTTAGAAATGCCAGGGAGAGTCCATTATCTCATCACATGTCTGCATGTATCCGATCCTGGGCTCTCTCCGACCTAACAACTTTCAAGTGTGATTAAGTTAAAAGTCTTAAAATTGGGAGATTATCTTGGATTATCCAAGTGGACCTAAGGGACAAAATCAAAAGAAAAGATGTGACAACAGAAGCAAAGAGATGGAGTGATGTGCTTTGAAGATGAAGGAAGGGGTCACGAGCCAAACAGTGCAGGTGTTTGCTAGAAGATGGAAAAAGCAAGGAAGCAAATTCTCCCCTGGATCCTCCAGAAGAAACACAGCCCTGCAGATACCTTGAGTCTAGTTAGCCCCATAAAATTTAGCTCAGACTTCTGACCTCTTGCACTGTAAGATAATAAATATGTGACTTTCCCAGGTGGCTGCCAAAGATGGCAGAGAGGTAGGTCCCGCTGCTCAATGACTGATGCCATCTCCTGGCCACCAGGGGCCATCATGAGCAAGCAGGTACTTTTGGGCCAGAAGATGGTGGCCGTGTACTATAAGGGCATCAGCGTTTCTGGCAATTTCTACAAAAACAAAGGCAGACCATTCAAGGTGCGCTGCCCCTCAAGACCAAGGGAAGCCAGGCTGCCCTGGACCCCCTGCGTGTCTGATGGGATCCTGTTGCCCTATGATGGGAAAAAAGCAGGTGGTGCGTTCTGGTGCCCTCAAGGTTGTGCACCTAAACACTATGTAAAAATTTGCATATCTGGGAAGCCACGAGGTTGGCTGGAAGTATCAGTTGGTGACAGCCACCCTAGAAGAGAAGAGGAAGGAGAAGGCCAAGATCCATTACTGGAAGAAAAAAAACAGGTCATGAGACTATGGGAACAGAACAAAAAGAACATGGAGAAGAAAACAGACCTATACTCAGAGCCCCTGACGACTCACAAACTCCTGGACTGTACCCAATAGACCTTTTATTCTTTATGCTTCGCCTGGCCTGGCCTGCCCTTCCACAGTGAAGTGGAAAAAATGAAGAGGGGAACGTGCCATGAAGTCATAGCAGAGTGAAGGAGAGAACAAATCTGGATGGAGAAATATACTATACAGGCTGGATTAGAGTCCCAGGGGCACCACAGTGAAAGGATTCAGTCCAGGTCCAGAGCTGGATCCCCTATAACTCTGTCAAGCACAGTTTCTCTTGCTCAGGTGAACAAACAGGCCATTCTCTCACAGCAGAATGTGGCTGGCCCCGCCAGGCTTTCCATTCAGTGGTGAGGGCGCCATCCGTCTACTTAATGGACTACATTCTGAAAATAGTTTATGCTTAGATGCCTACAACAAACCAACATTTCCAACTAAAGCAGCAATGAGTTAACAATACTGAGTTAATTATTTCAAATGATGATTTTTCTCTTAAGATATATTCACTTTGGACCACATATAACCAAAAATCTGCAAACCATGTTTTCCAAAATTATGAATACTAACATTTCTATATTCTACTTATAGGGTGAAATTGTTAAAGGCATGATCTTTGGAATAAGACTGTGTGGTATCCAGAATTGTGCCCCACCCCCCAAAAAATTGCTGATGGGAATTAACTTTGCTCATCAGCTGACCTTACAATACAGAGATCATCCTGAATTATGTTATCAAAAGGGTCCCTTAAGTATACAAGTGAGGCAAGTGGGGAGGTGAGAGTGATGCAACACCATGAAAAGGACTCAGCTTGCCTTTGCTGGCTTTGAAGGTGGAGGAAGGGGGCCAGGAGTCCGGAAGGCAGGCAACCTCTAGAAGCTGGAAAAGGCAAGGAAATGGATTCTCCCCTTGAGCTTCCAGAAAGGAATACAGTCCTGCTCTACCTTGATTTTAACCCAGGTAAACCTTTGTCAGACTTGTGACCTCTAGAAACATCAGATACTAAATTTTTGTTGGTTAAGATGCTAAATTTGGGACCATTTGCTTTGGCAGCAATAGAAAATTACATGGGTCAATTTCTGACTATCATTCAGCACCGGTAGGAGTTTGAGAAAATTACTTAACATTTCTATTCCTATTTATTTATCTGTAAAATGAGATTAGCAATACTATCTACTTGAGGGTGAAATAATATTTAAAACAATGCCAGATGCATATTAAGTACTCAATAAATGTTAAATGCTGTTATTGTAATGTTATTGTTGTTTTGTATTTACCTTCCTCTTTGATGTTTATCATGATTTGACCTAAGAACTGTATGTGAAATGTATGGGGTTTTTAAAAATTCATTTAAGCAGCACAAGAAAAACGCCTGCTAACTTTTAATAGCTTTAAAGTCCTGAACTGCCTGGAGTACCTTCTTAGGATGTTTTGTTTTTAGCTTTGAACACCTAAATCATCTTGCTTATTTCTAACTTGCTAGGACAAGCTGTTCTACACCATTTTTTAAAAGAACGTTTTTACTTCTTGAGGACTTAATTACAGTGCTGCTGGTTTATGAGTCTGCATTGTAAACTAAGACCTTGAAATAAACAGGCATTTCAGTTCTTGATACAACTGAGTGAAAGTGTGTTCTCTGATTAGCTTGTTGGCAAGGAGGTCACCGTGACAATGGGATAAAATTAGTCACACTTGCCAATGACCTCATACTTAGTACAGATGTGGCCTTTTCTGAACCTTTCTTTCTGAAACGTATTGTGTTGGCTATATTTGGTGTGTTTATTGTACATCTAGCCATTTAATTTGGTAAATGTAATAAGTGTTTGCAGTATTTGATTAACTTAAATAATTTACATTTTCACAAAAGTTTTGTTAGACACATAAAACATAAAGTCTTTTTTATTTTTAATAGTTTCTGGGATCCTCTGAGATATCCCACATCTAAGCAATATTCATCTTTATGCCTACAAAGAGTGAAGAGTCCTATATTATTAATAACTATACTCTCAATAGTTATTAATAATAGAAATGTCTTTTATTGTTACTGACAGCAACATACATTTGAAAGTATAAAAGAGCACTGTTTAGAAAAGAGGTTTTAGTAACTCACCACATCTGTGCTAGTTCCAATCGCTGACGAAAGAGAATAGATTGAGCTTCCTTATGTGCCACTCACTCATTGATTTATTCATTCTTTCAACAAATATTTATTAAGCTGTGTAATGTTCTAGGAATTATGAAACTCCTTCAAAAATAAATCATGTATTGTTT